TGAGGCTTAGAAAGGGAAAGGTGAAGCACCTTGCACAAAGTGACACAACTAGTAAACGGCAGAAATAAAATTAGAACCCTGATCTCACTTGACACTGGGCTTGTTAGTGCTTTATTACATTACACTCAAATAATTTTTATATTAATTTCCTTTTTAATCAAGTTACACTATTTAAATTGTGAAGCTAATAATAACATGGAGATAAGATTCAGTTGGACTTATTTATCAATCCATTTATCCATCCTCCCCACTCACCCATCTCATAGTCAAGGAATGAAAATCACTATTTCCTGGCAATACATAAAGCAGTACGGACAAGAGGCAGACTTGATTCATGTCCTGAAGGTTCAAAGTAAGAGAGTAACATAGGCAAAATGAATTGATTACTGGGTGAAATTCCAGAAGAGTAAAATTTTCTCTTCTAAAAGTCCACTCTAGAAGGACTTTACAAAGATGACAGATAAGGATAAAGATCTGAGGCTAGAAGATTAGAAAATCTAAGTAAGAAAGTGAGCTCATGGGTCAGTAGCAGTGGTGAATGAAGATACCACGATAATCCATCTCTGAAACAGAGTCATTAAAAGATGGTTTTTATAACCCTTCAGCATTTATATGGCACATTCACATTTCTTTTCATCTTTGTACTATATATTTGATGCTTCAAGGAAAAATAAAATGTTTGAAATAGTTGTTTGAATAGTGTTCAGAGAATTAAAGGGTCCTTTGGAACACTGCTTCTCAAATTAGTCCATGAACCAGTATCAACCCAGGGGCACTGTAAAAACGCAGAACACTGGGGTTGATCAACAAACCTAATGAGTCGAATCAACATTTTAACAAATCCCCTGATGATCTGTATACACATTACTGCTTGCAAGGTTTTACTCTAAGAAGTAAAAGAAAATATTAATCCTCACTTTATGCAAATTGACAAGAATTACACAGAAGGAACAGAGTGGGCAGAAGAAGAAACATCAAGGAGAAAAAGGTTCATTCACCTTAACTTCCTCAGTGCTCTTCTCATAGGTCAGAACAGAGACTCACAAGAAAAGAGAAGGGGACTACTGGTTTCTCTAGCTTTGGAAACAAATACTGTAGGCAAGAAGCTGTCCCTGATGCCTAGCCCAGATAGATACTCATGAGGAAGATGACTTTAAATAAATAGAATAGTTAGTATCTAATGTTATCCATTTAGAAAGCCTGCAGTAACATCTTAAAGTAGAAAAAGAATGATTTCACAGATAACAAAGCGAAAGAAAAAAAGGTAACACAAGAGATATTGAGAGATTCTATACATAGTTCTATAGATCTAATGGATATGAAAAATACATTGCCCAGGAAAAAAGAGGACACTTCAAAGTAGTTCTTGGACTTTATACTGTTCTTTCACATCCTAGAGATCTCTTTAAATCCCACTACCTTATTATCCTCTCACAGAATACCTTGAAATCTTAAAGCAAGTATCAAGATATGTATTAATATATTCATCTGTGTATTTGTTTAAAGCCTTTTTGTCCACCAAAGTCAGCTCCATAAGGGTAAAGACTGAGATTTTTTTCTATCCTTCTAATCTAACAGTAAATATGGATTGATCATATTGGAGAAGAATATCTGCTGAGTGAATGAATTAAATAATCCATATGTATTAATACGAATGCTTCCTTTCCTAGGCATCTGTCTATATCAAGAAACTAGATAAACTTCATTAAATATATTTAAGTTTCAGGTCCTAGCTAAATATATGAATTTTAATCGTAAGTCTTTCCTAGTATTGCACTATTTAAAATAGTCTTTCCTGTTTTTCTACACATTTGTTAATTTCTGTCTTAATTTTGATGGAAACTATAGACCCCGTAAGAGGAAAATTAGTAACATATGGTGACAACTATTTTAAATTTCAGGCATATATTCACCATGTTTACATAGCATGTGTCTAAATAATTATGTTTTTACATAGATATTCTAGAGTCTTCCACTGTTGTAAGCCCTTCTTTCACAGTATTTGTGAAATCCAGTTCAGGGAAATCCACTTCATTCTGGAAGGAGCCACTAGGTGGTGCTCTGGCCCAGGACTAAAAGCAAACTAACTCCTAACGGGAGTATAAAGTTAGGAGTTTCCTACTCTAATTCAACCCTACATTCCCAGATGCCTCTGTTCTGGGAAGCCTGATAATGGCTGCAGGGCCCTTGAACCAGGTTTCAAGATGGAAATCAAAGCTCTATATAGTGCTTCACTGAAGGAGTAGATGCCCTAAACAATTTTAAATGAGGAAATTTTTACAATACATCTCTTCTCAAATGGGAGCAATATTTAATGAAATACTCATTGATTAAGAGACAGAATTCTTGGATCAAAATATGCCTTCTATGAAGATTTTTAAAGTTACATTTTAGAGAATCAATTAAAATCCAATATGAAAATGCATTATAAAATACCTGCTGTAAAGTATTCCAAGGACCACATCGAAGAATTTGTAGTGTGTTCAAAGGGGGCATCACGTTGGCTGGGCATTTTACAAGTCTTTTTCTCTTAACAGTTTTCTTTTGTTGATTTTGTTTGAAAATTTCAAACCAAGGTTTAAATGATTTTATCCAAGCTAGCCTCTTTTCTTCAATAGAAGATAGAAGTGCTGGTTCTGGTACAGAGCAGGTCACCATATTTTCACATTCCTCTCTGTTTTCATGACATTCTTCTGGAATTTCTTTAGTCTGAGACTTCAGAGAGTTTATTTCTTTAAAAACCAAAGAGTTTTTTGCATTAGAGCCACCCAAGTCTTCACAAGGAGCATGTCTACCTAAAATATGATTTTGCTTGTTAATTTTACCTTCTACATTTGTCAAAGCATCACTGGTGTTAAAAACGACATCACTATTCAGTGCAGTGTCTTTTGGGTTAGTTTCTTTAGATTTTATATCAGTTTCATTTTCCTGTATTACATCTTCTCCTATATCTTCAGAACTTTCTAATTTTAGTGGTAGTTTTTGTTTCATTGGAATCACTGAAATTCTCCTCTTATCACTCTCTTCACATGACATTCCATTCTGTTCTAATATCCCTTCTTTTTCTACTTTTCGTGACTTATTTTGTTGATTATCATTGGTTGCCCTCAGTGCGTCGTTGTTTCTCACCTCCTTCATCTCTTGATTATGCCCCAATATGATTGTTCGGGCCTCTTGTCTCGTGGTCTCTTTTATGGCAGGTTTCATGACTTCCTCTTTTTGTATTGGAGACTTTAATTCTTGCAGCTGAAACTCTTCTTTCACATTTTCTTTTAGATCTGGGTCTTCTAATTGAGTGTTTTTGTCTATATTTTCATTTTTCCTTGCTTGCTTACCCAATTCTTCTGCACACTGTTTTGCTAGGTTTTCACTTTTTTCTTCCATTTTAAATTCTGCCAAGATTGCTTGGTTTGATACAGGTTCTCTGACTTGCACTTGCATTGATTCCTTCAACACAAGCTGTCTGCCTACATTTTCCCTCTCATTCGATTCCTCAGCTAGCCAAGGGGTAACATCTTCCCACTCCTTTGACGTCTCATCCCCTGGACTTTCAGCTACATTACCCTTTCTCTTTGAGGCATCTTCAGCAGTTAACTGTTTGGCATTATATTCTCCCTTCCTTAATGCTCTGCATGTGATTAGCTGTTTTCTTGCCTCTTCTCTTAATCTCAATTTTTCCTTGTTTAGTAGTTGCTCTCTTACTTGTCTCAGGATGTTCTTTTTTTCTTCATATTCTTTTTCTCTCCTTTTCCTTCCCTCTTGCTTCTGCTTTTTTATCTCTTCTTCTATTCTTTGTTCCTCTTCTAATTTTTTCCTTTTTTCTTCTTCCATCTGACGTATTTTTGCTTCCTTTTCCTTCCACTCTTGCACTTTCCTTTTCTTGCTTTCTACTTGTTCCTTTATGAGTGGGCCATATTTTTGGTAAGCCACGAATGCTTTATATTTAGCTTGAATTTTCACAGCTGCATTATGCTGCAGTTTTAACAAACGCATTTTTTCTTTTTCCTGTAGGTCTTTAAATCTTGCTCTTTCTTCTTCCATTTGTAAGTGCAAGTTTCTAATAAATTCCTAAATAAAGTAAGATAAATAGCAGTCAACATAAACTAAACGTGTGATGTCACTAAAATATCACTTGAAACACAGACTGAAAACAAATACTAAAATTGAAGTCACAATAAAGATAGTATAAAAGTCACTTAGAAGAACTAAAGTAATTTATTTTGAATGGTATATTAATTTTTAAAATATTTAGTTGCTTCTATCAAGTTAGTAAGTTGATACTTTAATATGGTTATACCATGCCACACAGATACAAATTAAGGAATTCCTTGAAGACAGAAAGCATATGAAATCAGAATGACACAGAATAAAAAGCAAGAAAAACTATAAGCTAAAAATCGTGTAGGAGAAAAGGACTTCAAACTTTCTGAGATGGGAGTTCTGATAAAAGGACTTCCAGATTGAGCACAGAGAATACAGAATCAGGGAATTATTTTGTGAGACTGATCACAGCAGGAAGGTGACGTAGTACATACATATAAGCCACGCGAAGAACTAGCCTAGTCACACATCTTATCCTTTCTTAACTATTAAGGGAGTTGATAAGCACATACTGCATCAAATGAGATAATCTGGAGGTGGGTGAGAAAATATCATTATCACTGAAGTCCTAAAACAAAAGTAAAGAGGTCAACAAAATTTGGCAAATAGTTGATGAAAACTAACACAAAGAATGTGAGGCAATGAAATGGTTCAATAAGCAGAAGGCAAAACCAATTTCTGAGAAGAGAGCTATTTAAATCAAGTAAAATTAAAATAAAGGTATTTTTAATAAAAACGTTTAAACAGGAAACACCTCATATAAAATGAAATGCAAGTGCTCAATAAAAATTTATGACTCACTCAAACAAACAAAAATCAAGATAAAATGGCTGACCAGCTGATTGCCTAAAGAAAAACTTCAAAATTAGGTGTTTCCTAGAACAACATACAAAACAACAAAGCCATGAAATATATGACACAGATATTCAGAACCAAGGAAAAAAAAGGGAAGAGAATAATAGAAATGCATGTTTTCTAAATCAAAAAAGGCCATAAGAGAAAGAGCTGGGTTAACCTCTTACACACACACACACACACACACACACAGGCGTGTGCACAATAATACACTCATATGGATGCTAGCAATATTTTGGAATCCTAAGGAATGTAACCTCCATGAAGGCAAGGATTATTTTCTGTTTTATTCACCGCTGTATCTTGAGTACTTAGAGAAGTGCCTCGCACACAGTGGAAAACCAGCAAATATGTGTGGATGAATGTAAAAAGTGAAAAATTCTAAAGCTTCAAAAGAATGCAATGAATGAGTATCAAATTTGCAATCATAGAGAGCAGGTGAAAAAAATACATAAACATGCAATGGAGTTATATGTTTAAACCGCTAAAACTAAACAGTAATAAACCTGGATTCTGTATCCAAGAAAAGAAATCATTCAGTTTTAAAAGTAAAATCAAAACATTTTCAGTTGTCCAAACACTGAGAAAATTTGTCATCCAAAAGTATTTTTTTACAAGTATTTAGGTATATACTCCAGGAAACGAAAACTGAGTCCAGAAAACAGGGGAAGACTGAGGATTCAAAAAACATTAATGATCAAAGAAACCCTTAACACTTAGCAGTTAAATTATTTATTCTGTCTTCTTTCTTCCATCATTTCCCTCAAGGAGTCCGCTGGTAGTTTACGGTTGCTCCTTTGTCGGTAGTGTGCCTTGTTCTCTGGCTACTTTTAAAGATTTTTCTCCTCCTTGTCTTGAATTTCAATAGTTATACTATTAAATTCCCAGGTGTGATTTTCTTTGCATTGATTCTACTTGAGGATCTTGACTTATCTTCAAATATTCAGATTGATTTTCTAAAAACAATTTGAAACCATTTCAACTATTATCTCTTCACCCATTGCTTCTGCTCCATTCTCTCTGTCCTCTCCTCCCAAGATTACCATTTATAGATATGTTTATCTTTTCATGATGTATCACATATTTCTTGTGCTCTTTTCTGCTTTTCCCACTTTTGTTCTCTCTGTGCTTTATTTTGGGTATTTTCTACTGACTTCTCAGTTTCACTAATGTTCTCACCTGCTGTGTCAAATCTACTGTCCAACTTAGCATTGAACTTTTCAACTCAAGAACATACACTTGATATTTCATTATAGATTCCAATTTTCTTTTCATATAACCTGTTTAATTATTTTGCTGTTGCATGATAGTTATAAGGATTCTAATGGCTCTCCTGACTCCAACATTTGCATTACCTCCAGGTGAGTTATTACTGTCTTATTTTTTCTTGTCATTCATAATGAATCTGTGTCTTCACATGCCTAACCAACTTTTTTTCACTTAAAGATGGACAGTATAAGCCTACTTTTTTCAGACATGTGCTTACATAAAATTTAAAAAAGACTTGAAGGAAATGCAATGATAGGTGATACTACATTTGGCTGGATTACAGAATTATGGGAAATTTTATCCATTCTTATAATTACTTACAATAATTTTATATAAAACTGTAGTAAATAAAAGTTAAAACTTAATAAATGTGTCATCAGAATCATCTTAAATTTAAAGGGGCTATTAACACATTCAATTAGTTCTGTTAAAGAAATGCAGTAAACTTTCATAACAATCCTCAGTCATAATGAAATGTTCATAACAGTGTATTTCTTCAAACCTTAAAAGAAATTTTAGAATTATAATTTATTATAGACATGTTCACTCACTGAACTACTTTATTTTCATTTTGGGACATTTTATTTCAAGGAGAGTTTCTAATGATTAGTAAATTTTGAAAACTTTAGTAAATTAAATCTTACACCAACTAGGCAATATTATTCTAAGATATTCATTCCAAGCATAGTAATTTATTTCAAATAAAGAATAATCATTGTGTTGCTTAAAAACAACAAATCCATACCTGATGCTGTTTAAATTTCTCTTTCCAAATTTTCTCTTCTTTATGGAGTTCATCATTCATCTTGTCCTGTTCTTGCTGAACATATGATGATATTGAAATACTTTATTCAAATATCAAATAATATTATGTTTATTATATACGATTCTTACAATATTTATAAACAATGATCAAAGATAATAACTCATCCAATGGTCCTCAATTATCAGAACTGGGATAACAACTTTAATCTCAACCCAAAATATATAAATGACACTTGGGGTTCCCATTTTGAGCACATAAACATGTTTGCAATGGGGAGAGCTGTTTTATTTATTTCAGTACATATATTCACATACTAAAGTGCATTGGCTAAAAGTACTGTTGGACAATGCAAAAATTACAAATAATAATGTGTGCAAGATAGGTTTTACATTACAATTTTTTTCTCCCCACACCATTCCATTTAATTCACATAATAAATCAGTTCCGAGGGTAATTGTTTTCTTTCATCAACTCCTTATTAGCATCTATTTTGTTAAGGCTCTGCAGAATAAACAAAGATTAGTAAAATACAATCCCTTTCCTCAAAACCTTTACCTTTAATATGGGAATATTATCAGATGTTCACACAATACCCCAAATTTAGCAGAGTAACTTTATCACAAGAGAAGAACTATGAGGTTTACAGTAGGAATAGGTGTTATAATTAGAGGATCATGAAAGGTTTCATACAGAAGATTGTATTTGAAATGATTAGGCTTTTAAGGGATTATATAAACATGTTAGGCATGTTAAATGTTTTTGACCTAGGAAAAACATTACAGCTCTGCTTTGAGAAAATTTTAAGGTTACTTTAGAGTTAGAGAAAGTGAGCCAAGGAGACACTAAGGAGATCAGTGAAGTAGGTGTAGAGAAATCCATGTGAGAGTCAACGAGGGCCTTCCATAGACGGGTGGCAGCAATCAGAAGAGATGCAGAAACAACGTAAATACGAAACCACCACAAACTGCCAACAGACTGGATAAAAGGAAGCAGGAAAAGTTCTTTGGACATTATCTTATAGGAGCTGTGGGAACTTTTGATGGCCTTTAAGCAGGGAAATCATTTTTTTAAGAAAATAATTATCCTTCTTACTGCACTATGGTGCACGAGTTTACAGAATACAAGACCAAAAGTAGGGAGAGAAATTAGAGAGTATAGTAAGTATTCCAAGCTAGCCATTATGACACTGTGAACTATGGATTAACAGTAGATATATGGATGAGACAATGGACAATACAACAAGACAGAAGAGTCAAAAATGGTCCTCATCTTTCTAGCTTGGACTGTGGTAATAAGTGTGACTCATCAAAATAAGGAATACCAGAGGAAGGTCATGATTCAGAAAGAAAGTGCATTCAGTTTTAGATACATTAAGTTCTGCGTATAAAAGAGCTATGTAGTTTGCTTTTTTTGTTGTTGTTGTTATAACCATAGACTTGGTTCTGAACAGCCATGGTTGTGGATGAGATTTTCTTGAAAGTACACAGAAAAAGAAAAGAAAGAACAAAGGATGGAATTCTTGGTAGGACCACATTCAAGGAGAAAGAGAGAAAGAGAAGCCTAAAATAGGTATAAAGGAAGAATGGCCAAACATGTAAGAAGATAATCAAGGAAGTATGGCCCCATAGAAGTCAAAAGAAAAAGAAATGGTCAGCAATCAAATTTTTACTGGCATAAAATGCTACAGAGGACAAAATAAAAACTGAAACAGAACCTGTGAGTATGGGTCTAGAAATCATTGGTTATTTTTGTCAAAAGCAGTTTTATTCATTGTTGTGATGGTGATAGATACCTAGCAGGTTTCAGACTGAATGAAAGACAAGGAAATGGATAGAGCAAAAGGAGCTACTCCGTAAGAAGCCTGACTGTGATGAGCAGAGCTAAAGAGCAGCTAAAGTGAGACATATAAACCCAGATGATCTCATGATTTTTCTTCTGTTTTTGTCCCTAGGATGGGGGAAAACTGAACATGCTTATAAACAATAAGAAAGGAAGTAGTTGTAGGGGTGTTTCAGCATATAGGAAAAAATAGAGGTAAAATAGAAAATGACAGAATATAGAGCAAAGAAGGCAAGGCTAGCCTTTGGTAGAAGAAACCTTTCTTACTGAGGTAAGAGCAAGCAAAAGAAAAAAAAGGTGACAACATAGATTGATGCTAACTAGAAGTGGAGGAATTTCTTAACTGATGCAAAAATGTTATGTGATCATTTGCTAATAATGAGGAGGAAGGAATTGAGTATAATTCTTAAGGAAAGAGATTTACAATCGATGTTTTGGAAAATGGAAGAGGAAGCTAACAACGGACACAGAAAAGAATTACTGAATAAGTAATATTTAGAATCTATCATAAAATTATGGAATGGTCCCACTGGGAAACTGTTAAGGCCCAAGGCATAACAAAGCACACAGTTAGGAACTTATTAAAACTACTGATGTCAAATATGTTTTTAAAATCATAATTTTATGATATAGCAAGAATCACTTTCAAAAACTAAGTTACCATTCTTTGAGGGTAGGGCCCTGGTATTAAAACGCTTTTGTACCATCTAAGCATATAGCTAAAAGCTTTGTCCTTGAAGTAGTCAGTAAATTTTTGTTATAAAACAAATAATAATTACAATTTGGCAGAACAGAATTTAAAAATCAGATTTTTTTTTTTAGAAAACATCTGAAAATATCACTAACAACCAATAGCAATGATGCATTTTAGCATAAGCCAGCAAGTACTACTCCAATAAGCTACCTTATAGCCACTCCTATTCTGGAATTGAAAAAAAAAGCTTCTGACTTTTGAAAATGACTAATCTGGCCTGTGGAAAGGAAAATATAACTAAAAGAAAGTGAAAGATTCATAGCTTACTATTAGGAAAAGTCATGGCTAAACTAGTTCTGCAATATTATCATTGGTTATAATTTATTTATTTTCTGTGTAATCAGGAAATGTAATATACTCAATATAGAGTGGCTAGAACACCCTGAACTGCATATGTAACTACTTGCCAATGTACCCCACATGGAACACTCAAAACTCGTAAGTTCTGAGTAATACATAGATCAACTTTAGCAATGTAACACAGAGAAGTGAGCCCTGCCTGCTATCCTTACATTCTAAGGATCCTGATGGCCCACAAGTAGGTCCTAGAAATCCACCCATTTCTCAAGATGCCAATACCATGACCTAAGGATGTGGACCTCCTGGGTTGCAGTTGGGGGGAAACAGAAATAAAAACAACACAAAACTCCTTCGCATCAAAAATTTCTAGTCCCAAGAATTAGCTCAATTATGGGAATAAGCCATCACCTACATGACTGAACCACTTCAACCAAGTATGTTTTACATAATTACTAGATAGCAAACCACACAGCAAGGACATTACATGATCAAGAAAATTCTGTTGCCTTTTCCTACATTTAGAAAGATATGAAAAAGCAACAGTTTATGTTATAAATATCAGCCTTTCTAGGACAATCTTCGAAGCCTCATAGGCTCTGGCCACCCCCAAGATCCAAAACACTACCTGAATTTCCAGTGAATTTCCACGAAAACTAATCAAGAAGTCCATATTAATACTGCCAAGCCACAGTCAACTGCTTTGATTATTAGGACTAATTAAAACTCATAATGGATCTTAATCCACACCATAAACCAATACAACAATACTGTTCAGAAGTAGCAACTGATTCAAAAATGCATGAAAAGCAAAAACAAAAACAGAATAACTTACTCTCTGAATATTCTCTAATTTCTTCTTTTCAACTTCAAATTGTTTCATCCAGCAATGTCTTTTTTCTTCTTCTTCTTGAAACTGCTTTTCTTCTCTATCCCTCTGAGCTCTGAGAGTTTCTTTCTCTTGGTCTTCCAGCTCTTTCTGTTTGTCTTGCCAAGCCTCAAAAGACTGCCTACATCTTTCTTCCACTTCACAGTATCCAAAATTTATATCAGCATCATCTGTATTCACGAAGAGAAAAATTTTAAATTGAACTTGTCAAAACTGAACCAATGTAAAGTATAAAAGTAATTTCAAAATAAAGAAATAATGTCAACATCTTACCAAAGTATAAGTGATAATATGCAAAAAGGAATGAATAGTAATTCCATTGCAATCAATAAAGAAATCACATAACTTGCCTTAAGTTATTCCACAAAGCCTCTATAAAATATAATGTGTGTGTGTGTGTATGCGTGTGTGTGTAATTAAGCAACATGGTTACAAGACATTTAAAAAATTTAAGTCTGAGTATATCTATTGCAGTCAGCTATAAATGTGGAACAATTTTAAATCTACTTACATCAAGTTAATTTAGGAGCCATAAAAAAGCTATGGGAATGTGTAATTAAATAGTGTAGTTAAATGCATAACAATTTTCAAATATCGTGACTATATTCTTCTAAATGTCAAAACTTTCTAAATTTGTTTCAGATAATTATGATCAATCACATAAAAATTATCACAAATATCATCAAGAAGTTTAGCTTACCTGGCAAAACATGTTCATCCACAGGCAAGTCACAAGGACTAGGCTCTGGCACAGAATTAGGACTGCGACAACGAGTTTTACTTCTCATAAATTCTTCTTTTTCTATTTCAGATAACATCTAAGAGGTTAAAAAGTGCCAATAATTTAAAAAAATAGAGAGTAAAATCTATCATTTTAATAATGTATTTAGTATGTCGATACACATATCTAGAACTTTATTTTTTTAAATCTCTCTTGAATACAATTCTATAGCACGTTGATAATTATTCTCTTCATGGTGAAGAAAAATGTTTTTCCCATGCAAGCAAACTGTACTTTATCCCCCTTATGTTTTTCCAAATTCTAATTAGTAATTACTTTCTAATATTTACTCATAATACTCAAACTGCTTGAGAATCATGCCAAAATGTTTCTACTAATATGTGTTTTCTTCCTAATATATTTCTGTATTTCTTATCTGTAGTGACTGCTCACATATACGCTGTTAATATATTCAGTATGTTTTAAAAACAGAACTATTCTCTAATTAACTGAGTTATACACAAGTCATAATTTTGATTAATACTTTTCCATAATTAGACTCCCACTGCACTCTAGCTTGAAAGATATAGGGTACCTATTCCCATGAAGTAGCAGCATCTTAATTCAAAAATCAATATTTCAGGTCTGAGTGTTACCAAAAAAAAAGATAAGAAACATATGTATAAGTAATTTTCAGATTATGTTAAACATGTACAGAGCAAGAACAGAGTTTGGTAAAGTCAGAGTTGGGTAAAATGAGAAGTAAATATGAGTTCAAGGTGCCAAACCTGTGGACTTTCTCTTGTACATTTCTGGAGGTTTTAACTACAGGCTCTCCTTTACTCTTACTTTCTTAGGGATGTTTTTATTTTTATGTTAAAAAAAAAACCTAACAGACACTCTGCATTTAAAGTTTCCATAGAGTCTGTTTAGTCCAATTTAAAAAATTAAATAAAAAATTAATATCTACGTTAAAAAAAGTTTCCATAAAGTATTTAAAGTCCCCCCTGGATCACAGTACATTCTTAAGCAAGGTAATAAATATTAGAGTATATTTTGATTTTTTCCTTGGAGCTTCTAGGGAAAAAATATTGTTCAATATAGTTCTACTGTTTTATCTACATGCACATTAAATTCCCAAGTATTAATGGTTCATATTACTTTTTAAAATATTTTTAAATATTGAAATTTGCATTGCTTTATATTATACGCCAGACGAGAAAATAAAATCAAAAATTATTTGCTTAAAATAATTAAATTTTTAATTTTTAAGTCAGTGAACTTTTAATCAGTGAACTATATCATCTGACATGAAAGGGAAAGGGAAATTTCTAACTGTAATTTTGAGTACTTTCAGTCAAACAACATATACCTTCAATAATTGTTCTGGATTTTCTTTACATTCAGTTGACAATTCTATCCTTAAATGCATATGATTATTAGAAACTGCTCCATAACCATAGCCTATAGAAAGAAAAAAATATTATAACTTTAATTATTAGGGCAAGGCACAACACATTAAAATCCCAGACCCTTTAATCATCCTTTAATCTCAAATTCTGCCATAGTATATTCTTTTTTTTCTTTATTCTGTCTTTATACCCTTTATCTCCACTCCTTCCACACACTCTCAAAATAAGCAATTTTAGTATCTGAATGTTCTTTAAAAAGTTCTCTTTCTGTGTTCTCAGAAGGTAGTTTTTATTTCGTAGGCATGTATTTTTAAATGTACTCCAAAGCTACTATTATCTCTCTTATTTTGTGGCTTACTTTTTTTACTGAGTACTGTTTTTCATTTCCTTCCACTTTGCCAGGTGCTAATATTTAATCTGTTGTTTCATACTGATGCCTGCTATTCCACAGTATGCACTACTCACTCACAGTGTTGTACTATCCACTCGTGCATTAATGAATACCCATGTTTCCCCCAAGTCCGTGCCACCACAAATAACCCTTCAAAGAACATCCTTATATTAGTCCCCTTCTGGACGTGTAGAGAATTTGTTTTATATTTCTTAGGAGAAGAACTGCTGGGCTATAGGGTATGAAACTATTTAATGTATCCAGGTAACGCCAGTTGCTTTCCAGAAGTGGAGGAACGAGTCCTGCGGCAGTGCAAGTTTCTACATTTCCACATCCCTGACATTAGTAATTATCTAGTCGTCTAATTTTTGCTGTTTTGATAAAGGTAAATTGAAATCTCATTGTTGGTTTGCCATAGTATATTCTTGATCATAACTCAAAACAACAGAAAAATACTGAAGAATAATCAGAGGAAATCTGTACTCTTTATTCTAAAAATGAAAGTAATAGATTTTTACAGCACTCTATCACCATCATTGTCTAGACTGAAGTTTATTTTCCATGTACACAGAATAAAGCTGTGTTTAATATGCAGACACCGTGATTTGAAGTCAACAAAGGTTAGATTCCACCTGCCACAATCTAGTAATATCATCTTGTACAAGATATTGAAAATGCATTAATAAAAGTATTAGTTTACAATATTATAATTACTAACATGAGTGAAGTGAACTTTCATTTCTAATTTTGTGAGTTGTTTAATTTTATTCTTTTTATCATCAGTATAGATGTAGTTATGTTTCCTTTCCTTTTTCAATTTGAGTGTTTTATTATAGTAATGTTCCTTAGTAGTAAAGTATTTTTCACAGATGACCATTCTACCAGATAACTGACTATTCACACCTATTCTGTCCGATATTATAGATTTCCTTTTCAACACCTATTCACAATCTCTCTGGCATGCTTTCCTATGCGAGAGGCTGAAAAGCAAAAATAACATTCTCCAGATTCTTTGGAGCTAGGTTTCTGAGGGTGATTTAGGTTCTGCCAAATGATACATGTGTGCAAGTCTTTATTTTCATAAAAATATTACGTGTGAAGAGAGGCAGGAAGAGATACTGTCTTTTTTCTGGCCCAGACTATGACAGAGGGAGCTTCAGGTTGGAGATAGGAGTGAGTAGTAGAGGATTAATGTCTCTGAATTTCTTCACTATATCAGACAGCAGTGCCTGCTGCAGCCCAGTTCTACAATGTATGTGCAGGTACATTTTCTACACTTTGGATGTTCAGCCTAGAATCTGTTTCTTCAGTTCTATTAACAAGTCTCTTATTTATTATAGAAGCTAGTCTCCAAAGATGTCACTCCCACACTTCCTAGTATGTATACCCTATGTAGTTCCCTCCTACACAGAATCTGTGCTGAGCCTGGGACGCCATCAGGATGTGGCAGAAATGATGTTGCATGACTTCTGAGAAAAAGTCATGTGAAGTTTTACCAGGTTCCACCTTACTCTCCTGATATTTTGTTCATGGGACACTATTTCTCAGAATCCAGGTGCCATGCAAGCAATGGAGGGAGACCACATGCAGGTACCTCTAGCTGACAGCTCCAGCTGAACTCCCAGCCAACAGTTAGCATCAACTGCCAGCCTTTTGAGTGAGTCATCTTAGAATTCCAACCCAGTAAAGACTTGAGATGACTGCAGCCCTAACCAACATCTGACTGTAAATGCATAAGAAATCCAAGCAAGAACTACTTAGCTAAGCCCAGTCAACTCAGAGAACTATAAAAGATAACAACATACTGTAATTTTAAACCAGTAAGTTTGCTTTACACAAACACCCCTAAAACCTTATTGCTTAACATAGCTAAAATAGTTTCTGTCTACAACTGAGAGCCCTGATCAATACATCTATATCCATAAATAAAATTAGCCTCTAGTTTCTCTTGTGTGTGTGTTCTGCTCACACAGTTTTGTATTTGAAATCTGCAGCTTTTTATAAATAAAATATAATCTGCAGATTTTGGCTCCTTGATGGATTGTAATAATTGAATTGCAAAATTCTTCCTAGTTCCTAATGACATTTGAGAAGAAATTTCTTTGCACCGTCTTGTCAGATTATTGATTTAATCATATTTTCTGCTTTTTCAAGCAATCTTGATAATTTGAATTTTCTTGGAAAATTATTCTATTCATTGAGTCTATCAAATCTATTGAATTAGAGCTGTACACAGGATTTTGTAATTTGCTAAACCACTGCTATAACTGTAATTATATAATGTTTCATGTAACTAATTTTCTATAATTATGCTTCCTTTAATTTTTTTATAATTAGGCTCTATAATTGCCAATATATTTAAAATATATTTTCATTGTATAAACTTAAGTAAAAAAAATAAGCAAACCATTAAAACCCCCCATAACTCAACTATGATGACACTGCTAAAATCTGAAAAGTCTACATATCATAAGTGTTTACATATCCTTTCACACAGGTGCTCACAACAAAAACCTTAGAGCCAGTTTCCTCTCTTCCTTTCATATAAGTCCATTAAAAATATTTTAGTTCTTTTTATCTTAAAAATGGCTTCTAGAATATGACCATTTTCCACCATTTCTACTCAAATTACTCTCATCTGTAGCTATACTATTGCAATAGTCTTGCAGTAGACTCTATCTTCTCTACACAGTCCCCAGAATGATTGCCTCGAAATACATCAGATACTGCCACTCCTTACTCAAAAACTTCACATATTCAGGATGGAATCCAAAGTCCACACTTTGGATTTATAAGAATCCTGTATGATCTAACCACTCATTTGCTTAGATACAACCTCAAAAGCTTACTGCTCTTCAGACATATGCCTTGGCCTTTATAATTCCCTCCTTCTGGAACACCAGCTCTCCAGGGACCCACGAGGCTCGCCTTCTCATTCAGAGATACTTCATGTGGCTTACTGCCCCATTATCAGTCATTACTTAAAATCACCTCCTCAGAGAGGCCTTCCCTTACTTAGCCCATCTAAAAGAGTAACCTTCAATCTCTATCCCTTTATCTTGAAATCTTTCCTTCACAGAAGTTGTCATAATTGAAATATTACTTACCTATTTATTTATTGTCTGTCTTCCCACACGGGAACATTAGCATAGGCAATCAGGACATTTGCCTATTTGTTCCCTGCTATATTCTTAGTGGCTACAATAGATCTTTTTACACAATAATATTTTTGGTACAAATATCTGTGAATTCCACATTATAATACACACTAATATTTGCAAAAGTGATATTTAATTTCCTAATAAATTTTTTATTGAACTACAGTTGATTTACAACATTGTGTTAGCTTCAGGTATATGGTAGAGTGATTCAGATATATATATATCATATATATATATATATAAAATTATATATACATATTCTTCTTCAGATTCTTTTCCATTATAGATTAGAAAAAGATATTGAATATGGTTCCTTGTGCTATACAGTAAATCCTTATTGTTTATTTTTATATATAGTGGTGTGGACATAATAATTTGAATAGCTATTATGTCATTAAATATTGTCCAAGTCATCCTTTTTTTTAATGAGTGTACTGTTAGATACAGATCCTGTTGAACAAGTTAGATTTTTGCCATTTTTCATTATAAGTCAAGCCATGACTAATTCTAGTTAAATATTTGTTTATTCTATTATTCTTAGAATAATTCCAAGAAGTAAATTTGCTCAGTTTAAGTAAATAAAGATTGTGAAGTGTCGATATAAATTATATTTTTCTCCAAAAATATGTGTCAGTTGACATTCTAAAAGAGTCCCATGATTAGTTACCTTTAACATAGTGTAACAGAATGCCTGGTTTTAATTATGACTGGCAAAACAAACTGTGGCTAGTATTCATTGGAGACATAAAGAAGGCAGTAAGAAAAAATAAATGAATGAATTAAATTGAACAGTCCGCTATACTGTACTTGTGATAAATGCACATATCTATAATATGAGATAAGAACTTCAAGCAGTTTAATTTTATAAATTATAAATTACTCATACTTACAGAAAACTTATCTGCCAAGCAGATGAAAACTGTACTTACTTAAAACATCAGTATCTTCCAAGTCCTGAAGAATGAGCTCTTCAACAGTTTTACTCTTATTCTTTATGATGTTAATACAGTGAAGAACTGACTCGGGTAATTCATCCAAATCCTAAAAAATTGAATAAGAAAGAAATTGTAAAATTCTTTATTAAAACTATATTTCAAAATTTTGATACAAATTTTGATATGCCAAAAATTTGAGCAGAATGTGTAAATGAGGTAAAAGGGCTCCATATAAAGAGCATAGTCCAAGGAAATATATTTGTTTACAATTTCATTTTCAAGTGGCTATGAATTGCATCCATGATTCTGTTGGATTTCATATTCAAATGAAGAATTTCAGAATTTTTAGTCTTATTTGAAATAACCGTGGATAAAAAGACATAATAATGTAAAATAATTAATTTTTCCAAAAGTGTTATGTAGTTTACTGCAATACTAGTTAAAAATCAAAGTGTAATTATTTTTTGAAATTTGACAAATGAGTTTTTTGGAAAAAATTTACTTGAAAAGATTTTGAAACAGCAAACAACGGAATTTGACCCATTTGATATTCAGAGATATAAAACCCCAATGGGCAAAAATTAACAGAA